TATTGTCAAGAAAACAGTATATCTGGCATATAGAAATCTAGTTGGAATATTTAATTTTGAAATGGTTTGCTGTTGTCTCCCTTCAAGTTGTTTTCAACTTATGACAACTAAGGTGAACCTATCATGGGATATTCTTGGCAACTTTCTTCAGAGAGTGTTTGCCACTGCCATCATCTGAGACAGAGACAGTGTGACTTGTCCAAGGTCACCAAGTGGGTTTCAATGGCTAAAGTGGGATATGAACCTTGGTCTCCAGAGTCACAGTCCAACACTCAAACCACTACACCACGCTTGCTCTCTTTCAAAATATGACTCTGAAAAGAAAAGGAGGGGGAGAATGTTGGGTTTCAACCAATCAAAACTCTAAAATAGGGACAGAATCCAAGGCCTAAGCAATCCAACAAGGGAATAATAGATCAAGAAAAAATGTGATAGGAAAACAGATGGAAATACTCAGGATACACTACTAAGATGCAAAAGACAAGCTAGCTCAATTAAAAATGGTATTTATTAATGTATTAAAATTATTCCCCACCATTCTGCCATGGCAGTCTATCTTAGTCAAACAGCAAGCTTAGTCAAGTGATACAATTTTAAAAGCTAGGAGAGAAAGCTGACATTTTGACATTTACCGGGAATAGAAGAATTCTACAACTTTAAGAATGAACTGCACAAATTCCAATAGACTAGAAAGGTGGTGTTTAGGCAGGTCATGTAACAGCTTGGGGAATAAAACAAGGACAAAAACCAGAATATAATCTCCCCACTCTCCCCTTTTTTCATTCTAGTGCATTAATCAAAATTTGGGATGATCTGAACAAAGCCCTCACATTTCTTAGAAAATAGTAAGTACTGCATATCTCTGCCCTACTAAACAAGGAACACTTTTTGTACAATGCTGAAAGGCACTTCCAAAAATTGAATACAGATAATGTTCAGATATACTGCCCAGACTACAGATTGTTGTTGCTGTTGTTGTGTGACTTATTACCAACTTATGGTGACCCGGGTACAAGGAGACCTTAACACGAGTTTTTCTGGGATGGGCCAAGCTTACTGTTCTTGAACAGTAAAAGCACTCTCAATTGACTCTTGCTCCTCACAGACCTCACATTTCTATATTTTCTGCACCGTGTCATAAAACTGAGAATATGCAAGACAACAAACATATATATTGAAGAATCAAAGATTAAGCTAACAGATGTGAAAGAGCTGGGAACCTAAAAAAAGCTATACTTTTATCTACATTATTATGCTTTAAATGCTTTAAAATAGTTCGATATTAGTGCTGTTTATAACAGGATAGTTTATATAATGGTTTTTAAATATTTGCAACCATTATGATGAGTTTTACCTTTCTTTTAATTTAGCATGTATTGTGAGCCATATAAAACAATATGGGTCCCATATTGGGAGAAAGGAAGAATACCAAATAAAGAAACAAACAAATAAAACTTCTTTCAATTCACTGAAGCATTCCTTTTCCAAATATCCATGAAGGTTAAAGTTCAGAAGCAGAACTATGGATCAAAAATGACAGACAGCAGAAAATATTGGAATCTATTGGTAGATTTCTGGGTAATTTGTAGCAAATTGGGACAGGCTTCTGAATGCAACTGCCTAACAACAGCAACAAATAAAACAGCTCTATGTCCATCCCAATGTATGTTGCTGGAAAAGACCATGGGAATAAACAAAGGGGGGGTTGCAGACTGCCAGAAATAGTACAAATTGAATCCACTTTTAGGGTTAGGGTTAGGGCTAGGGAATCATGGGGACTGTATTTTATTGTGGCACCAGAGCTCTCAATGTCCCAGAAAAAAAAACAATTCCCATGATTCCCTAGCACTAACCCTAACCCTAAAAGTGGACTCAATTTGCACTATTTCTTGCAGTCTGCAACCCCCCTAAGAGTAGATTCTTTTGTGAAAGAGTTCTGATTTCAAATTCTTTTACTAAGCATGTGCCCAGCAGCATGTGGTTCCTCTGTACTTAATGTATGACTGTATGCTGTGCTACTATTTTGCACCTGAGTTCTGGTTGGTAGAACTTGGAATTCTAATAAAAACTAAGGAGACCCAGCCTCCCCTACAAATAAATTAAGATCAGCATTAACAAACAAGGCAACTCTAACATTAATATATATATATATATATATATATATATAT